CGCACTAACGACCAACAAGGTTTGCCCTAATTTAATTATCTTCCTTTCTGGATTTCTGTCACCATCGTCTATCTTTTTTCCTCTTGTCCGCGAGGAAAAAACGAAAGAGATATGGCTCGTAGCGGAAACCTCGTCCCGATGTAATAACAATGCATGAAAAGATGCAACCTTGTCCGATGAAATTAACGCACATTTTCGCGGTGCTGTTAATTTATCTTGCCCAAGGTGCTATCGGTACCACAGACCCGAACGATTTCAGGATTCTAACCGATTTCAGAAACGGGTTGGAAAATCCGGATCTTTTGAAATGGCCCGGGTCGGGTGATGACCCGTGTGGCCCTCCTGCATGGCCTCATGTGTTCTGCTCTAATGGCAGAGTGACTCAAATCCAGGTGCAGGGCGTTGGATTAAAGGGCCCTTTGCCCCACAATTTCAACCAATTGGATAAACTCCAAAACCTCGGTCTGCAAAGGAATCATTTCAATGGAGATCTGCCATCTTTCAGCGGCTTATCGAATTTGCAATACGCGTACTTGGATTACAATGATTTCGATACTATCCCTTCCGATTTCTTCAACGGGCTTCGTAATGTGAGGGTTCTCGCTTTAGACGACAACCCATTTAACAAGACTTATGGATGGAGTATACCTAGCGACCTAGCCGAGTCGACTCAGCTGGTGAACTTTTCTTGCTCGAATTGCAATATAGTCGGTGAAATCCCCGATTTTTTTGGGGGGTTTCGTTCTCTCAATATGTTGAGGCTCTCGTCGAATAAGTTGAGCGGCGAAATACCGTCTAGTTTTCGTGGCTCCACGTTGCATGTTTTGTTGTTGAACGATCAAGAAGGTGGTGGACTGAGTGGTTCTATCGATATAATCGCGACTATGCTCGAGTTGACTCAAGTGTGGCTCCACGGGAATCAATTCACGGGTTCGATTCCCGGTAATATCGGGAGTTTAACTTCTTTAAAAGAACTCAACCTCAATAGAAACCGCTTGGTCGGCCTCATTCCTAAAGGCTTGTCCGATTTGAATCTTGAATCGTTGAATTTGGACAATAACATGTTCATGGGACCAGTACCACAATTTAAATCCGCGAAAGTTTCGTACGATTCGAATTCTTTCTGTGAATCAAATCCGGGTGGGCAATGTGCTCCTCAAGTTAGTGCCCTTTTAGATTTTCTTCACGATTTGAATTATCCGGAAAAACTCATTTCTCGATGGACCGGTAATGATCCGTGTGAGGGTCCATGGTGGGGTATTTCTTGTAATTCGAAAAACGAGGTTTCGATAATTAATCTGAAGAATCTTGGATTAGAAGGTACACTTAGTCCTTCGCTCGCGGACTTACCTTCACTCCTCGAAATTCACTTGGAGGGAAATTATCTCCACGGCGTGGTCCCCACGGATCTAACTCTGCTGACATCACTGCGATTGTTGAATTTAAGTGGGAACAATTTCGATCCGCCTGTTCCGGTTTTCAAAAACGGTGTGACGGTAGTAGTGAGCGGCAATCCAAAACTGGATCCCTCTTCACCGCCTTATGTGGGCCCACCAGTGCGACCTTCTCCAAACGAACCACCATCCAATGGTGCAGATTCTTCGGCTCGTAAAGGTTCCGGTTCTAACTCACACACTAATGTATATAACGAGCCGAAATCGAGAGTAGTGGCCATTATTTTGTCTGCAGTTGCAGTCTCTGCTTTTCTTGCAGTGGTACTAATCGTTGTCTACTGTCTTAAGAAGAGGAAACAGACGCAAAAGAAGCCACGTGGCGGGATTGTAATCACTCCTCCTAAAGAATTGCCGAATTCCCATAACGAAGTGAAGATTGAAATAATCGATGCGTTGTCTTCCTTCGAGGCTCAAAATAATAGCTACAATACTAATCCTACTACTAATAATAACACTCGAGTGATTGAGGTTGAAAATCTTGTATTTTCGATTGACGTAATTCGCAAGGCAACGAACGATTTCAGAAAAGAAAACGAGATTGGGCGAGGAGGGTTTGGTGTAGTCTACAAAGGCGAACTCGAAAACGGGACGAAAATAGCAGTTAAGAGAACGGAAGCGGGCCCCGTTTGTAACAAAGCGTCGAACGAATTTCGGACGGAAATTTCCGTCCTTTCGGAGGTGAGGCACCGCCACCTGGTGTCGCTTTTGGGATATTCCGTTGGAGGAAATGAGATGCTTTTGGTTTACGAGTATATGTCGCAGGGTGCTTTGAGCAGGCATCTTTTCCATTGGAGGAGATTGAATTTGGAGCCGTTGGATTGGGAGAAGCGGGTTTGTATTGCTCTTGATGTGGCTAGAGGGGTGGAGTATCTTCACAATTTGGGGCACCAAACTTTCATACACCGGGATTTGAAATCGGCGAATATTCTTCTTGATGATGATTTCCGGGCGAAGGTTTCGGATTTCGGGTTGGTTAAATTGGCTCTTGATAGTGAGAGATCTGTTGCTACTCGATTGGCCGGGACTTTCGGTTACCTTTCTCCTGAATATGCTGGTATGATATTTTTTTTCGTTTCTTTAAACAGCCGATAAATAAGCTTGCTTCATTGTTTATTATTCGTTTTTCAGTGACGGGGAAAATTACGACGAAGGTGGATGTTTTCAGCTTCGGAGTGGTACTGCTGGAACTCTTGACGGGACTAGCGGCGCTCGACGAACGCCGTTCCGAAGAAAAACGGTACTTGGCGGAGTGGTTTTGGGGGATCAAATCCAACCGCGGGGCCCTCATTGATTCCGTGGACCCCGCTCTTGATGCGAAAGAAGATGTCCACGAGAGCATCTACGTCGTTGCTGAGCTGGCAGGGCACTGCACCGCGCGGGACCCGAGCAACCGGCCCGATATGGGGCATGCGGTGAATGTACTAACTCGGTTGGTCGAGAAATGGAAACCCTACGAAGAAACGGAACGGTTTTGTGATGATGATGTCATTGGTGACACGTCGTTGGGGCTTCCTCAGCTGTTGAAGGGGTGGCAGGAAGAAGGCGACACGCGGGATTTCAGCGGGGCTAGTAAGCCACCTGGAATGCCCGATTCTTTCCGTTCGGCTGATGCTCGTTAGCGAAAACAAACGGAGATGTAATTAATTGGTGAAAGATACTTGTATGTAATGAAAAGTGTGGTGGTTTATTTATTTATTTGCGTTTGTACAAATGATGTTCGTGTAAAATTATGTATGTTCTACTCTGTTTTATTTACTTCACACAACTCTGTACATGGTTCAATATTAAAACGGTTTATTTGATGTTGCGTTCGTTCGGTTAACTTTATCGAATAAGATCTCACTATGTATGTGTTTTATAGAGGAAAAATTACACTTTTCATCCCTCAAGTTTGTACTAATTTCACATTGGGCACCTTATGTTTCAATAATTTAACATTTTTGGTCATTTCCGCCATTTCATCGTTAATTCGCGGTGATGGGCACACGCTTGATTCCGTTAGTAATAGTGAAAAATTGCCGAAAATGAGTATAAGTGTTGATGTTTGAAACATAAGGGACCAAAATATATTTTTTGTAAACATGAAGGACCAAATGTGAAATCGATGCAAAATTAATGGATGAAAATTGTATTTTTCCGGTTTTATGAAGTATAAACTACTCATTTTCACTTGTATAGTAGAGATATCTATGCGTGTAAAATTGTGCGGTGTATTTCATCAAATAAAACATTTAAATTTAATTATATTATAACATTAATTAAATTTAAAAAAAAAATGATTAACAAAAAAAATATCTAAAATAGTTGTTTAAGTGTTTGCCAAACGACTCCCAACTGTAATTTGAAACAATGAGCATTCCCGCTTCCACATCCACCCCTTTTACGCGTTCTTCACCACCACCACCATCGCCGCCTCAGCCACCTCTTTTCTCCCAATCCGCCGCAAACACTAATCCTTCAGACCATCGCCGCCGCTTCTCCTTCAAGAGCTCCCAAAACAACAACTCCAACAGTCCAGTCGAAGTCGCCACCGCCTCGTGGACTTCATCCATTGCCCACCACTGCAGAAACGGCCGTTTATCCGAAGCAGTCCTGCAATTCACCCGCATGCGGGATTCTGGGGTTGAGCCTAATCACATTACTTTCGTCACTCTCTTCTCTGCGTGCGCCCATTTTCCGTCCAAGGGTTTGTTACTCGGCCCTTCCATACATGGCTATGCACGAAAAATCGGGCTCGACGTTAACAATGTGATGGTGGGCACGGCAGTAATCGA